GGAGGGACGGGGGGGGGAGGGAAGCTGGGGAGAGATAGCAAGGGGAGAAATGCCAGATGTAGGTGATGGGGAGGAAGGCAGCAAATCACACTGCCAAGCGTGTAACTATGCAACAATTTTGCATGTTCTTCACATGTACCCCAAAACCTAAAATGCAATAAAATAAATAAATGGGGAAAAAATTAAAACAATTAAAAAAAATAAAGCTGCATAAATATTTTAATGTAACTATCAAGCATTTTTAATACAATGTTAATTGTTAGAACAGACAATACACAGGGTATATTAGTACAGAGGGGAGACCCTTTATTTAATTTAGTCAGGTCAGAGGGTGCCTAAAAACAATAACATCTGAATTGAAATCTGAATAATAAGTGCAATTTAACCAGGTGAAAAGAGGTGTAAGAGGTAATTTGGTCAGTGGAAATAATGTAAATAGAGTCACAAAGATGGTGGAACAGTATTCACTATTTGAGGAAGCTTTTCAGTATCTAGGCCATAAAGTTAAAAAGTGCAAATCATGCATGGTGGGATTGGCAGATGGCATGTAGGAGTTAATAGAGAGGTCAATTGTGAGGATTTTAAATTCTGTGTTAGGAACTCTACATTCTATCCTAGTTCAACTGATAAATCTTAGGTTGGAGAGTAATGCAGTTATATTAGCAATTACAAAAGAGTGCCAAAGCTATTTTGTAGAGAATGGGTTTGGTAATTGTGGTGGCAATAATGGAGATGAGAAGATCAATTAGGAAGCAATCAAGTAATCCTAGGAAAGAGGTATGAGACGAGTGTATGAATGCAGCAATGGGAATAGTAAGAAGGAATACGACCTGCCATATATTTAGGAGTTAAATTTGGCAGGAGCTGAAGACTGAATGGATATGGAAGTTGAAGAAGAGATTTTTTGCCTTGATAACCTATCATAGTAACATTAAAAGAGAACTGTACAATGGAGGAAAGGCAGGTTGGAGAGGATGATGAGTTGGTTTTCAATACGTTATATTGGGAGGGTTTGTGGAATAAATTATAGTGGTGCCCAACATGAAACTGGTTATTCTAGTCTGAAGCTCAGGGGAAAACCAAAGCTTCACATGAAGTAGTCATTATTCTAAGGAACAAAAACATTATTATATGGTAGGTTAGAGCTGACTTTAGTGGGTACTTGTTACTTATCTCAATGTCATTTCTATCTTTTTCAGTACTCACTTAAAACATTTTGATGGGGACCTTATCCTATGTTGGATCCCTACTATGATGTAATTAAATACACATTATATATATATTTTAAAAGAATGTCTCGATATAATTCTTATTTACCTGCCAAACATTTGATGAATGCCTACATGCATACTGGGTATTGTGCTAGCAGCTCCAAACAGAGAAATAAATAAGATAGCCGCTAATATCAAGGGTCTTACAATCTAGTCAAATATATGGAAATTAAATTAAAAAGTGAAATAAGTTCAAAACAAAAACATGCAATGTAAAAAGATATCATGGAGGAAGAAGGGATTAATTCTCCTTATGTGTTTATACAGGGACAGGAATGTTTCCTAGAGAAATGACATCTGAAATGTCTTTTTAAAGGTGAAGAGGACTCTGGTTGATGGGGCACAGCACTAGGGAGGATGGGTTATTTTGGGTAGAGAAGATAATATGGTTCCTTGTGTCACAAGCAATCAGCTTGATGCATTTGGAAATTACAATCTGGCATTACCTGAGCATAAAATGGAAGAGAGATGATCAGTTGGAGTTGTGGTTAGAGAGGGAGATAAAATCTGTTCACGCAAATTGTACAAATATCTTTCTGTACACAATAGTTCAGTTATCTAAAGGTTTCTACATAAAATAGTGTTTTTGAATTATGGAGAGGAAAAATGGTGGACCCGGATGACAGGCAGAAGAATTGAACATGAAAAGTAAAGTAAGGAGGTCATATAAACAACCAAGATCAGATTGAACCTTGACCTTAAAGTGAATTAATTTCATTAAGTGGTCACTCATCTAATTTAAGCACATTTTAGGTAATTTTAACCTAGATTGACTAGTATTTGAATGAGTCTCTGTCTCAAAATAGACAGTCTACTATGTCCGGTCCCTAAATAACAATACTGCTTGTATTCTCTCAGGTTTTGCCTCTTTTCCAACAGGGCTACTCCAACCTTGTCAAATGTGGTTCTGACACTGCACTCATTTTCTGCTATCTACTCTTTTTTCACTTGACAGATTCCCAAAGGAGGTATTATGTTCCTTAAGTAACTGCCTAGTTTTCCGTCACAGAATCAGTGACTGCTTTCTTAGGTATAGCTTTCTGAAAAGGCTGACGTGATGAAATCTTTTACTGTTTGTGTAAGTTCTGGCAGTGGCTGATACCATTACACTCATCAAGCCTATAGTACTATCCTAGTATTGCAGAGTGGTTCGCCATCTTTTGCATGACTTTTTGCATAAATAGTTCCAGAATATACAGAATCATAAGCATAGTTAAAAGCCCCTAAGTAATAGTTGCAAAAACTTCTAAGGTTGCTTACAGATTCTTCTGAGTTGAAGTATAACCCGTGGTTCACTTAGGGCCACCAGAAATCATTATATGCTCACAAAAATATCAAATTACTTAGGACTTTCATGTTTATATTGGGTGATAAATTATTTCCAGATTTTCTTTAAAAATAAGATAGATTTTTCTTTACTTGGACTATCCAGCTAATCCTGCCTGAATATCAAGGAATGTGATTATTGTCCATATACTATTTCTCAGAAATTATGACTTAATATTTTATAATGTGTGTGAATGTATATAAATAAACAGGTAGTACTAATTGTTTTATTGTACAGAAATACAAATCCATACAAATAGGTAAGTCTATTCTCAAAGCATGGTAGCCCTAAGATTATCTTTCCATGGATCTAAACCTAGTTGTTCTTCTCCTTACATATCTGCATATGGTACTTTTAGAATTGTCTTCCTGAAAACCTTCTAAGTGGCAGGTCAAGTTGATGAAGAAAGAGGTCTGTGTTCCTTGCTTATGTTCTGATTTTCTCCTTCAGATGAAATACTCTTGTTATTCAGATGCTACTGTGTTTCATGGAAATCTTCAGGTAGTATATTTTACCTGAACTCTTCCCTAAGATTAGTCTTAACTAATCTTCCATTGTCTAAGAATTTGTAATTATAACATGGACATTGTAATTAGGCACTTCATTGTGTTATAGAATTTTATAATTTTCACTGATTATTTGAGAGTATCAGTCTTACCCACAGTGATTCTATTAACTTCTCAATGACTCTCAAAGACTTGAAGAAAATTACTAGCATATCACATTGGTAAATTTCAACAAGTGTTCCATGTTTCAGAACAATCGTTCATTAATGAATTCATTGAATAAATATTTATTGGGCTCCTAAAATGTGACACATACTGTTTTAGGCAATGGAGATATAGCAGTAAACAAAACAACAGCAAAAAAATTAGGGCATCACTGAATTTTAATTCTAGCAAGGTGATTCCAGACAATAGATAAATAACTTAAATATACACTGGGTTAGTTTTTCATATGAGAAAAAAAAAAGTAGAATGTGCTTCTATTGAATAGTAATAGCACTATCTTATTTTTAAATAGGGTGGTCTGGGAAGGCTTTGTTGACAGTACATTTAAGAAAAGACCTAAAGGTGGTAAGGGAATGAGCATTAAGGATATTTGTGGAGGAGAGTTCTGGTCAAATGAACAGAGACAAGGCTACTGAGATATGGTCATGGAGCTCTAAAGGCACCAAATTTCTTAGGAAAGTTATATTTACATGTGACCAAGATATTTTTCTGGTGGTCTTTTACAAAATAGATCCTTATTTCCTAGGATGTCAAGCCAATCTTATCTAACTTCTTTTGGTCCTATCTGTTTATTACTTCTTAGGAAAACCTTTCCTAACTACAAAGACTGGATAACATCCTTCTCTATGCATGCCCTTTGTGTTGAATGTATCTTTACACAAAATTGCTTATTTAATCATCTATAATTACTTGTTTAATGGGCAACCCACTAGAATGTAAACTTCATGAGGGCAGGATCTGTTTTGTCCATACCTACCTGCCTGCCTTTCTCCTCAGCGCTAAATAAAACCAAATAAATAACCACTTGTTCACATACGGTGCACACATAGGAAGTTTAACCAACTACCTTAATGAGGAAGGGGTCATATTTTATATCCTCATTGTACCTAGACATAACTGTTTTTGACTGATTCTTGCTATTAAAAGGGAGAGCTGAGTTCATTTGGAAGAAAATGAAGATTTCATGAATGAACAAGGATGCAAGACACTTTCTGAAGCCCTAAGTCACTCCTGTAAATACTCAAAAGAAAATATGATCAACCTGAATATCAACATCAGCATCAACATCAACAAAAACACCAGATATACAAGTCTGTCCAGAAATATAACAGAAACTACTAAATTTCTATTATTCATTAGGCATTACTCTAGATGTTTGGGATACATCAGTGACCAAAACAAAGAAAAATTCCTCCTGTTACAAAATGGAGCGTACATTCTTGGTCAGGAGAAATAAGTAAATTACATAATATTGTGAGCTTGTTAGTGCTAGGGGAAAAAACTGAAGTCCAGTAAGAGAAATTAAGAGTATATTTTCAAGTCAGGTGAACAGGCAGGCCTTCTTATGCAGGTAATATTTGATACACGTTGAGAAAAAAATTTTACTCTGGGAATGAGAGAAGTCAGTTTTGTGAGGGCAGTAAAATATTCTAGAAAATATTAGATCACATATCTGAATGCAGAGGAAAACAAGGCTTGAATGAGTCAAGTGCATTAATAAGAGGAGGAGAAAGAGGACTTCTGTCTTGGACTTACAATTTAGGATTTAACTTTACAACAAAAGTAAACTATAGTTGCAACAAAATCAAAGAAAAAGTTATTTATTTGTTAAGAGAAGGCATTTTTAATAAAAAAAATTCAAGATATTTTATGATGAGAGAAGAATCTTACCATTTTTACTGATGTCGAGTTCTTTAAGATTAACTAAACTAGCAATAGTGGTTGGCAGATTTGAAAGGTCATTATCAGGAATACTTAGTTTTCGTAGAGCTTGACAGTTGAACAATTGCTGTAATAGAAAATAATAATTAATTAGATCTCAATTTGGTTAAATTCATTCACAAACTGAGTAACAAAATTAAAGTCATCATCTTTATATACATAGTAGTAAAGGAGCTCCTTATAAAAGCCTCACGTTCTTCCATACTCAGCTTCTCAATTGTTTCTGAATGGCTTCCCATTACACTCCCATGTTAGTGCCTCTATTTTCTGCTACCCAGACTCAAACCCAAGATATTATATTTTGTGCCTTCTTTTACCACTCACATTCAGTTTGACACTGAATCCCCACTGACTGCTTTTTCTTTTAAGTAACTTCTAGAGTTGTCCCTTCTTTTCTATTCTGACAGCTACCAGGATTACCTCAGTTCTCCTTTTTCTGTGACCACATTAGATTTCATGAGTATCATTTTAATTTAATCACATCAAACAGTTGTTTATCTGAGATGCAAGAACTGCAATACCTGAGCTCACATTTCTTTTGGGCCCCCTCTCCCAATTGTTTCATAAATATTTGGTACATGAGATATTTAACCTCTGATATTTGGTGAAAAAAATCACTTGTAATTCGTTCATTTCTGCCATCAGTCCAAAGTATTAGGTGGAAAAGAGCCAAGTGTTAAAGTAATAGTTGTGAAATCCAGCATGCTTATATTCACTGGTTGATGCAAATGCCTTAAAATATGAATTCTTCAACTTTACCCAAATAGGTCCAGGAAGGGGGTCAACAATCTGCATTTTTAACAAGCACATCAGTGACCTGGAAACTTTGACATAGGTGTTTGCATATCATATTTTAAGAAACCATAAATTAGATGGTTTTTCTCTGTCCAATTTATCTTGACTCCTGCCAGATATGAACAGCTGGGACAGAAATTTCTGATTCATTTCTGGAAGAATTATCTTAATGAGATCTTTTCTGTTTGACATTTCTAATTCTGTTTTGCTGAATTTCTACAGATGAAGTCTGGTATCCATGACTATGAAATTGGCCTACAGTACATTTAACTACCATTTGTTTTCACATGTAATTCATTATTTATAGGCAAAAACAATGTAGCACATGGTTGTTATTTCTTAACTCATTAGCCTTTACAAAATGAATTGGGCTGATTGTTACTTAACATGAAATATGCAGTTTCTTACTTTGGGTCATGTTTGGTGCCTTACAAAGACTTTCTGCAACACTTCGTATAGTGTAGAATTAATTGTCAATATTTTAGATATAAATGTTACTGTTTCGTTTTATAAAACCTTAAAAAGAGAACTCAGATGCATACTTTGTTGGATAGTTCCCACTATTAATTTTCCTTCTAAATAAATCGGAAAACAGATGCCTACACTCATGGTAAAAGTTAATTTATATTTATTCCAGTCTCTATCATTCTGTTATGACTATTACATCTATATCTGCAGGCAGTGTGGTCAGTTATAGATTCATAAATTTAAAAAATCAATTATCTTAGGACTGATTTTGGTAAAATTTACTAACAATTCTAGTCTGATTACTATTATATAACCATTTCAAGCCATGTTCATGCTAATGATTTTCAAAACACAATTTGTTTGTTATATAAATTTGCTTATCATCTCAACTAAATTCTGGAGTGTGTTCAAGAATTAATAGTCCCAGTATTAATAGTTCCAGTATTCTTTTTTAACTTTAAATGAAGTCACATCAGAAAGAAAAGACACAGAAACTTCTGAACAGCCTGTAACAAAAAGAATCCATGATCTCCTTGGTGTAGAAGCTAAGAATATGGTATTTGGAATCAGACTGGTGTGTGTTCAATCTCCACTCATCTATTTACTACTGTGTAATCTTGGTCAAGTTACCTAACATCTTTGAACTCATCAGTTTCCTTGCCTATAAAATGAGAACAATACATTAGCTAACTTGAGGAATTGTTGAGAGAATTGTATGAATTAATACATTGATCAGTTCTAAGTCACATATTTTTTCACACATTAACATCTTTGATGATGGGAATGCATCCTACAGTCAGGAGTAACTTATCATTTTTAAGAAGTCTTTTTTTCTTCCTTAATGGTACTACAATATTGATATGTCTCATAATCAATGGCCTTACGTTTGATGAAATACGGTGCTTGTGAAAATGTGAGACTGTGTTTGTCACACAGTAAAGTTTGATAACTGTTAGCCATTATTAATATTTATGTACCAGATACAGAGGCACACCTATATAATATCTATATATATAGATATATAAAATATATATAATAATCTCTATATATAATTATATATATTATATATTATATATTATATATAATATATATATCATATATATGATATATATATAATATATATAAATCTCTCTATATAATATATATTATATATAATATATATAATACATAAAATAATATATATATAATATATATAATATACATAATAATATACGTAATAATCTATCTTTTACTTTTCTAGGTGATGGAGGCAGGAATCATGCCAGATCAATCTTGGTATTAACATGTTTCTCCTTTCTATACACCAAAGTGTCTGGTACAGTGTCCTGTACATAGTATATACTGAGGAAATATTTTTGAAATTATGCATAGATAATTAAAAGGCAGATAATGAGAGTGCTAAATACCAGCTGAGAGTAGTAGTTCACTGGATTGGAAGCTTCAGATAAAGGTAAACAGTCTCAAAGGAATCTAAATTTCATATATAAAACAGTGAATTCTTATAAACTATGATGTCTAAAAATTGGCAAAAAAAGGCATTTTAACAGGTCTTTCAAGATTCAGGTTTTTAATTAAAATGAGGGATGATTATAAAATACCTATAATTCTTCATATAGTATAATTTGGCAAATAAAATTGATAGCCATTTTAATTAGAGTAAAACTGCTAGTGGTCATGGTAAACTTCTCAATGATTTTCAAAGACTTGAACTGAATTGAAGGCATAGTTATCCTGTCTTTCATTTGCTAATGGTATTTTACATTTCAAAAACAATACAATTGTTTTGAGTCTTAAAATATTTCTGTCCTAAAGTGCTCTTTTTTTCTGGAGCTAATGGAAGCAATTTAACTCTGAAGAAATTGGTTTGAGAAAAGTATATAATATAAATTACTGACTCCAAAGTAAACATTTAGAACTGAAACACAGCAATTAGGTGTCTTCTCTGAGAGCTAATACAAAGAAAAAAGCCTCAAAAGTAGAAAATAAGAATACATTTGGAGATAAAAATGTATATTACAAAAGATTCCATTCATTTATTCATGAAAAACCATTTATTGATAATTGCTACAAGCTAGACACTATACTAAGTACAGGGGAAACAACTACACTTGAGCCCAGATTCTTTAAACTTTATTATTCAGACATTAATATATTTTCATATTCAGTCATTAATGTACTTTAATATTCAGACATTTATTTAAGTTTTAATTCATTTAATTGAAATTAATGTTGGGACAAATATCAGTTGTAATGAAAATGCACAGGTAGGATATCTGCACCAGATTTTAAGGTTGATGGTGCTTGAGTTGATTTATGGAAGTATCTCTAGGAAAGGTGGATCACCAGAGAGCCACCGGAAGTTAGCCAGATGAAGGCTAAAGAGGCAATAATGTCATACCTTTGTTGAAACATCTAAAGATAATCCCAACTCAAAGAATATGTAGCTCAAACTAATTTCAGATATTTGCTTGGTAACATGAGGAGATTTGAATCTTGGAGTGAATGGTCTGAGTCTACAGCATCTGTATGCATCTAAAATATACTATTGAATATCTATTATATGCTATGATTTGTCTTCAGCACTAAAGATAAAGGTATGAAAAGATAACAATTTCTGTTTCAGAAATATGGTGAACTAAATATTGAAAGAGTGACCTTTTGGTACAGCAAAACTACACACACTCACACTCACCCACTGCTTTATTGTATAAAATGAGCTCTGACTATAATTTGAGGCAATTCTTTGAATTCCAGAATAACAAGAAAATTAACACATAGACTTACATGAGTCTGGATATAGCTTTCACTCTGGTAGTGTCTGTTGGCCCCTGATGGCTTAAGCCTGAGTTAAAGATATTGCAAGTGGAAGGATAGAAGACTGCTTGGAGTCTGAACAGAGTGGAAGATTGGCTTAGAGACCACCCCCAGTGAGTGAACTAGAAAAAAACCGGGTCTGCAAAGGGATTTAGCAGGGAATACATGTATTTCTCAGTCTTGGCTTTGAGTAAAGTGTGAAAAGGAAGAAAAGGAAGGAAGGGAGGGAGGGAGGGAGGAAGGAAAGGAGAGAAGGAGGGAGGGAGGGAAAAGAAGAAAGAAATGGAAAAGAATGAAGAAAGGGAGTGATACAGTTTGGCTGTGTCCCCACCGGAACCTCATCCTGTAGCTCCCATAATTCTCACATGTTGTGGGAGGAACCTGGTGGGAGGTTATTGAATCATGGGGGCAGGCCTTTCAAGTTAGCTGCATAAATTTGCATAAATAATGAGGAACTGAATATTAATCACCAAGACAATGGGGAAGATGTCTTCAGGGCACGTCAGAGACCTTTGTGGCAGCCTCTCCCACCAAAGGCCCAGAGGAAAAAAATGGAGCCCTGGGCCAGGTCCAGGGTCCCCATGCTGTGTACAGAAAAGGGCCAGTGCAGAGCTAGGGCCATGGCTTCAGAGCATACAAGCCCCAAGCCTTGACAACTTCCATGTGGTGTTGAGCCTGCAGGGGCACAGAAGTCCAAAATTGGGGTTTGGGAACCACTGACTAGATTTCAGAAGATGTATGGAAATGCCTGGATGCCCAGGCAGAAGTGTGTTGCAGGGGAAGGCCCTCATGGAGAACCTCCGCAAGGGCAGTGCAGAAGGAAATGCAGGGTCAGAGCCCCCACACAGAGTCCCTCCTGGGGTACTGCCTAGTGGAGCTGTGAGAAGAGGGCCACCATCCTCCATACTCCAGAATGGTAGGTCCTCTGACAGCTTGCATTATGTGCCTGAAAAAGCTGCAGACACTCAATGTCAGCCCATGAAAGCAGCT